TGTAAAAATACGTCAGACAAACATAAAATAGATACTAACATCACATTCCACAAGGAAGTAACGCGTTTCAACTTGTATTTTTATATAAATATTCACTAAACCACGATTGCCGTGTTCAAGAGAAATTTTAAATTGTATTTAATGGATAATCAAAAGAGGTACGACGAGTGGGGTATTTTTTAAGTGAAGTGTTTTTCTTGATTTGTTTTATTATTGTTTTTAATTTTCATTTTATTTCATTTTTTTTATTTTTGTCTGTTTTTTGTGTACTTTATTTAGGCCAGCATATATTATGTTATATTATTTTATAGTGTATATATTTTTTATATGTGGTAAGAGTTGTCATTGTTTAATGATTGTTTGTTTATTGTGATGTTTAAAAACCTATATATTTTATATTATGTTAAGTTGATGTATGTATATGTTCCTGTTGTTAAAGTGTATGTTCGTTGTAGTGGTGTTCTGTCTGTTGTGGTGACCACAGAATATCAGCGCCGGTCTGTTTCTCCGGGAGCAAACTGGCACATGCTGAGTGGTGACCTTTTTGGTTCCTTATTTTTGTAGTTGCAATAGTTATTGTCAATGTAATGTAGACCAAATAAATATATTTTCTTTCTTTTCTTCTTTCTTTCTAAAATCGAAAATTAACCTACTACTAAAACTAGCCTACATGAATTTGATTTTTGCCTCACTTGTGACAGTTCGTTTGATATGAAACTATCATTCTATGCGTTATTATTCTAAGATTGTATCGACATAAATACCTAATGAACATGTGTAATTATTAGGATTCTATTAATACAATTATAGATAACAGATTCACGTTATAATTTTAGCTATGTTGCCGCTCTGACCACGTAACGTAATGTTACGAGAAAGTGATGGGTAACCCTTCCACTTCATGCACACATTTGCGCGTCTGAAGATAGCGCCTTGCTGTAGGTAAATAACTTTCGACCGTTGTTGTATGGAGTGTCCGGGGTGTGGCTAAAGGTTAAAAAAGCACTTAAAATGTGATGAAAATTATACTTTGCGTCAGTTTAGTTTGCGTGTTTTGCCTTTGGCAACCATGATAACAGGTGATCTAAATTCAAAATCGTACACATCTTTAAAATTTATTTGAATCGCATTAAATTATGTACTTATTACATAAAAAGTAAACTAACAAACATAAATGACTAACTATCACATCAGTCTTGTCAATCAATATCTGATTTTGAAAGGCACTAACTACGGTTCCGACTTTCCGGTTGGGTCACCCATGCGCAATAAAATTTATACCTAAAACTTTATACAGGTTGGTGTACATAAAGATCTGAAAATATGTGAGCTGGTAACGGTGCTGTAATTTATTTATGGTCAATTTGAAATTACTCATATTCTATACTATACACATTTCATGTCATCAGCCGAGACTTAGTAATCACAACATCAAACATGCTTATGCAGACTGACAAGTTGATCCCAAGCCTTATACAATTCAGAAAAAATATTACGAGTTTCAAAATCATATATATATTATATATCACAAAGTACAGTTAAGTTATACTAGCAAGAGCACGATTTTGATTAATAATGTCAATTATAGGAAATGCCGTTAGTGTAACGAATTATTTTGTTCAAATAACTTCGTCAAACTTAAACAAGATAGCGCGTTGACTTGTCAACGCCTTTTGCAAATCAAAATTTGTCAATTATCTGCTTTATAATAAGTATAACATGTATAAATACTATTTTAGTCAATATTCGTATTAGTGGTAAAATTTACCATTATTTTGTGTAAATTCACATTAATTATTTATATATCACACACACACGACTATTTATAGCGAAGTAGTCTTGAACCTGAAGGTTTTGAGATAATCTTTCATTACGTTTTGCCCCACTAGTCAGTACGAATCAGTGTTGAGATACGAGTATTACTATTATTATATGAACTATGATGGTTTTTGGTAGGATGATTTCTCATATACACTTTTGCTTAATGGAATCGCGCATTCATACACACAGAACGCAAGTAAAAATAATAGATTCCAAGAAACATATTTCACTTTTGTTACTAACACTACGAAACACAACCTATTTAGCTTAATAAACTAAAATAATATTAAACTTATTCAAACTCCTTATCCACAGCGTCCATATTGGTCAAAACCTCACATATGCTACCCGCATATAATCTGGTATCGTCATTTTTCTTTATTCTTAAACTGGTACAATACAATTTCTTGTACAAATCAGTTATTTTTTCGTAATCCTTATTCGATTTAGATTTACAGTATTGTATGATACTTTTCAAAATAAAATGCAATCGATTTTCGTACAGATTCAAAAGGCTGTGTTCATTTTTCATGGTTTTCTCGTCTTGGTCATCAACCTTTGGCGTCTCTTTCTGTTCATCAGGATCTCTTTCTTTGATGAGCTTCATGATGGAATGACATTGGCGAAGGATTTGTACAGCTGACTGGAGTGATTTTAGCTTGACGTTTGGTGAAACTGAAATTATATCCTCATCAGTAAAAATAAAAATTGTAAGTAGGCCTGAAGATCTGAAGCAAAAGTCCAGTTACCTAGTGCAGACTTCAGAATCTCGCTTAAGATAGCTAACGTTTAGTCTTAATTTTCTGATTTTCATTTCTCATATTGTTATAAATCTACTTCATGTTAACGATTGGCGTACAGTCTATTCTATAGTAAACAAAGAAATTGCAACAAATAAATGAGACCACAGTCCTAGAATTCTTATTTAAAATAACCAGAGAACGCAAACAGATTTCGACGTAATTTTTGCCAGAAGCAAGATAGGAAGAAGGGGAGAATTTAGTAATTTTCTTTCAATTTCTTTACTTTATACAATACAAGCAAAGAAAAGTTACCGGCAGCCTGAGTTTCTAAAACAGCAACGTGTTCCATCTGCACCGTCAGGTACATTGCAGAGTCTTCCAGCAGCGCGAACATGTTAGCTGCTAGTTCGTATTTGGAACGTGTAGCTTTTAACAATGTACGACGTCTAGGGCCGTCCTCTTCTGTTATTCTGGAAATTACGTATACAAAGTATAGATTAAGTAGTCCAAGACGATCATCATCAAACGAAAATTTTGCAATGATTATAAAACATAGGATTCGAATAAACGTAGTCCTAAGAGTGTACCCTGCGGAACACCCACATCCAGAAAGGACATTGTTCGTATTTTTTTACTTATGTTAGCATCTTCCGATAAGATCAATTAATTCCAAGTATCATGATACAAGGAATCTGCTTCTTTACATTTCACATTGTACAAGTTATTTCATAAATGACTTGTAATCATCATTATCGAAGGGTTTAGCTGAATCACAAGATACAAAAAAAATAGTATTTTCAACATCAAAAACGAAACTAGATAGGATCGAACATAATTTTAAGGATACTCGTTTATCATCTAATGTCTCTGTGTTTGCAGTCAGTTTCATTAACTACTAGTTTCACTAAGTTAACTTAGGTTTATTTACCTGAACTGCGAGTGATACAGCGAACCCAGACGATGATAAATCATAGCAGCTCTAAACTGGTACAGATATTGCCTAGGCCCTGGACTGAGCAGACAGTATTTAAGCGCTTGCTTGAATGCTTCGGCTACTTCTGTCACTAGCTGAAAAGGAAATTATTATGTCAGAGGTTGTATAGTGGAGAAGCTTGGAAATACCACAAAGGATATCGAAGGGATAGGCAATCGCGCCCATGTAAATGAAATTACATGTATAGCATATGCTATTTATTCATTACACAAGCAGTCTAAATGGTATGTTCGTGTAGGCATATTTATATTCTCAATCAACAGAAAACGTAAAACACGGAGCGGGATGAGCTATAATGAATTTCGAAGCGGGAAGAAGTAAGAGACCATGCGATGCGCGGAATACCATAAAAATAATAAGTAATCAAGGTATAAACTTCTATGGTTAATTAAGGTTGAAGTGCAATAGGTGACTGTCATATTGTCATTATAATTGAAGCCATTCAATTTTTTAGTTAGAAAGTTTTACTATGTTTCTTGTTATATTAACAATTTGGTCGGTTTTAATATTCTAATGCGTATTTTACGCGAATGAAATTCAGTAATGTGTTAGTATTTCTTTTCTGTTGATTAGTATAAAAGTAAATAACTCACATTAGCATAAACCCCAGGGCAGTCTTGCATAAGCACAGCTCGTGTATACAAGTGGCAAGATAGTTCCCAAGATACAAGATCCCAAACGGAGGCTGCCCCGCATGTTTCTCGCGGTCCAAGAACTTTTAGAGCTGTTAGGTATAGTTCTTCAGCTTGATTGTACATGCTGCGTTTTTCTGCACTACAACATAAGTATAATTTTTGTAGTAATATTTTATTTTTATTTAATATCATGATGTTTTTACGTGGGGCAAACTTATAAGTTTCCGGAATGAATAAGAAAAAATACTATAAATGGTCAGAATAAAATTCATTGTTTCTCAAAATATTCTCCGTTAGCGTTAACGCACTTTTTCATACGAATGAACCAATTTTGAAAACATTTATGCCACTCCTCCGTGTCTCGGAAACATATTTTTCATACTCTTCGACAGCCTCTTCAGGTGATGAAAATCCTTGACCGCGTAATTGGTTCTTTTTGGAAATAAAAGTCACAAGGTGTCAGGTCGGGACTGTACGCAGGATGACTCATAGGGTCAACGTTGTTCACCTTCAAAACTTCATTTGTCTATCTGGCCGCGTGAGAACTGGCATTATCGTGGTGCAAGATGATACGGCGTTTACGGTTATTTGTTACGGAGTGTAACATCCGGCAAACATGGTCGTGTACCAATCACTATTCACAGTACAACGATTCTCCAAAGCAACAGTAACCACGTATCCAGTTTTATTTTTAAAAAAGCAATCATCTACTTAGAGGCACTTTGCAAGCGTGCCACTTTGGTTGGTTTCGGCTCATCTCGAAAGACCCATACGCTCGATTGCTGCTTTGTTTTGGATCGTAACTACAAATCTATGTTTCGTCACCTGTTACTATGTCCCACACCAAATTTGACGCCCCTTCATTGAATCTGGTAAGCATGGCATTGCACCAAGTGACGCGATCCGTTTTTTGAGCCTCAGAAAAATTGTGTGGAATCCACCGAGAGCACAGCTTTTTCACACCCAAATGTTTGTGTAGTATTTATTGTACTTGACTCATGCCTATGCCTAAAGATGCCCGAGTTTCGTGGTATGTTACATGCCTGTCTGTTTTGATCATACGGCGCTTAGCATCGATGTTTTTGTTGTTCACAGCAGTGAACGGGCGACTATTACGAAATTCGTCACTGAGATTCACACGACCGCGTTTGAATTCCGCAAACCAGCTATAAATAGTCGTCTTGCATGGTGCTTCATCTTCAAAAACAGTTTGAAGCGGAGCGAAGCTCCGCTGAGCTGTTAAATTACACTTGAAGTCGTAGAAATTCATACTACGAAAATTTTCACGAGTTAAATCCATGGCGATGTAGACAACCAATTTCTAAAATGACGCCACAATGTAAAAACAAGTGACAGTGAGATGAGGCAAACTGTATTCTACAGCCAAAGAGTTCCATTTTCAAATGTTGTAATTACTTTTTAAATATTGTTTGTGTAAGTGGCCAGTTCCGGAAACTTATAGTGCGCCCTATGTACTACCATGATATTCAACTACTTTCTATTATTGTTCTAGTATCGTTTATTGTTTGTTATAATCATTTTTTATTGATTTACAGATCGAACTAATAAAAATGGAAGTAAATTAATTTACTACTCAGCAAACTTGGTGGAGGTTAAATCATACAAAATAGCTACACTTATGTTGAAATTATTTTTCATGCAGTTAATTTTCCCACTCTCCCTCAAAATAATATTTATAAAATAACACAAGCACAACTACAGTCTAAATAAAAAATATACCCGATACGTGTTTCGCCTCCCCGCGAGGCATCCTCAGGGTAGCGATGCGCGATTGTGAATGATTTCCGTATTCGACTCGTTGGTAATCGCTAATCCTGTCATTCGAATGTCAAATTAGCAACATACAATTTTCGTATTCAAACGATTTGAATGATCATTCGTTACTAATTAGTAGTACTAATCCATAGATTACATAGAGCATTTCTGCTCGTGATCACCTAGCTCTCTCTGACATATGGTAAATAATGTGATGAGGACAGCCATATTTTGGTATGAACATGATGAATGAGGTGGTCCGATATAATAATCATTCAACTCGTGCACCCGACCGAATGGAAGGGCATTCGGTATTGTAAATCATTCGACTCAAGTCGAATGATTGTGCTTAGATTCGACTTAGGCGAATGATTGGCCCATCCGAATGATTAGTAACATTCAAAGTCGCGCATCGCGACTTCAGGGGTTGTTAATTATTCGACACTCGGCCGAAGAATATTCGCTAGGTATATTAATAGCAGAGTAGCAAACTAATTTACCTCCATTTTTATTACAAAGAAAACTTTCCTTCGACCCGACTGGACTGGAACCAACATCTGTTGCCTCAACGTGGCTACCGCTGTGCCAACTGAACTACGGATCGAATCGGCAGATTTCATCAATAACCCTATATGCTTGTTGCGGATCTTTGTATTGAAATTTCAAAGTTTTGTATTAATTTTATTTCCAAATCATGTGTTGTAATAAAAAGTTCGCTAAGTTCATGTGTAAGCGCGTTTGCACACGGCATCCGATTCGTATTGGTCCGAGACTATAGAAATCTAGAAAACTCGGACCCATTTCGGATGTCGCTTGTTCACTAAGCCCCATTCGAATCCGAGTAAATACGAATATCGCTTGTACACATAGAGATAAAATGATCCCTGTGACATTCTGGATCGTCATTTCTCGTATTCGGAACTGATACGAATCGGATGTTAAAATGCAAACGCTCTTAGTCACTCTTTTTTACAGTCAACGGCGAAGAACATCGCGAACAAAACCTGCATATACAAACATTCAAGGACATGACGGATCCAATCTACTTAACAAACCACCTCGTTAGAAGACATCTGTCTGGCAGTACCTTATTTTCGAAATAGAAAAAAGTTATTCCAAATAACAGTAAGTAACTTACGTGAAGTCGCCTTGTGAGCAATGAGCCTTAAACCTGAGATATCGACCTTTATTGCAATACAATAAAGCTAGGTTAGGCTTGTCGTTCACTGAAGCGAATATTGTAGATGCTTCGTCCAGGCATTCTTGTGATTTTCGGGACAGAGCATTGAACTGTTTCAGTAGCAGTTTCGCTTTAGGGTCTTTGTGGTTTGGTTCTTCTACATATTTGAGGTAGATTTCTGTAATAAAAATAATATATTCGGATTTTTTATTGCATCTTTGTGGTTTTGTTCTTCTATAAGGTAAATTTCTGTAATAAAAATAATACATTTAAATTTTTTATGTGATTGAATCGAGACAATTCAGATGAAGTCCGACATTTTCTCAGAAAAAAAGAATATTGGCGCAATGTGCATGACAGGGTGCTTTTGTCCAACAACAAACGTTTGTCGGAATAACAAACTAATTGAAGTAGGGATGCATGATTTTTTTTTGCTTTGAATAAATTTTTTGGATAGTAATGAATCTGAATCGATCCATAAATCGGACCGGAAGCTCTTGAATTGATCTTATAAAAATCGTTTCAAAATTAATTTCGATTAAAAAAAAATAACTTTGACCGCCTTTGTGACTTCAGTCGGTTACAACTTTCATTTAGACTGAGAATAGCAAGTGAAAAAAGACGTTCAGATGAAAATAATAATAATAATAATCGTTTATTCTTAGATAGCAAAGAAGTAGCGACAATCGCCGAATATTGTAAACTTATTGTACTTAGTTGTTGCCAAACTGCTTTTCTTGAAGCCTAATATAAAATAGGGTTAGCCTTACCATTCGCGGGGGTTCAGAAAGAGACTGTTTTGTTTAAATTATGAATATGATATAGACGATTCGATTCGCCTTTAATGTTGAATCGTTTTGCTTAAAAATCGCATTGAAATTAATTGATACAAAAAATCTTAGCCCGTATACACTTGAATCGATCTTCCTAAAAATCGAATCGTAATGTGCATGCCTAAGTGGAAGTGTGAAGTGGGCGTTCCCTTGCAGCCATAGTTATGATACATCTATCACAACCAACGTTTGTCTTGCGTCAGCGCTCTCTTAAACCGAGCGTGAGCTTCACTAGGTAAAGCAAACATATTTTTAGTGACTTATGAAATTATGATTTACTGTTCTGTTTTGTACTGATGAAATAGTAGTAATAATAAAAACGTCCGTAATAATATAAACGTAATAATATAAACGTCTTCACCGTATGGTGAAGACTTTTCATTTTTTTTTTCCAACCTTTTATTTACCCAGAGCTTTTATCGCTTAGCGAGAATGCCAGCTCCATCGTTACAGACTATCCGTAATTCCGCACACCTATCTATTTTTAAGTAACTTATATATTTTATTAGCCAGGATACTATTAGACTCAGATAAAATATAAAATTGCGCATGCCAACATCTGTTAATCTGGCGTGTCATTATCGGTAAGTATTATTTTCACTAAATTAAACATGTAGCTGGCTATATACTTAAGTATGTCTGAGAAATAATATCTAGTTAAGCAGTTATTCGTCGATTTCATGTTCTTTCGGAATAGTGACCTGTCGAATACATGTATTTAGTCGTAGTAGTGTTCCGTCGAATTAATGTGTAGTCGTAGTACTGTCGAGTCGAAATAGTGTTTGTTGAAATTAATATGACCCTCTTCAAAAACACTCACGTTGAGCGTCGTTCATGTATCGAACAGCCAGTTCGTTGCTGACGGATGCTAGTCGGCGCTGCAGCTCGCTCTTCTTGTCGCATGTGACTTCTATTGCTCGTCGATAGTACGTCAAAGACATTAGCATCGATTGCAAATCACTCGTTGGCACAGTGAGATCTGAAATGTTACACAAAATATTGTTCTAGATCATAGTTTCCCAAAGAGGTCCCTACCGCACTGAAGAGTCCTAGGTAGGCGGTAAGAGCCTCGGAAGCAATTGGGGGGCGTTGATGCTGTCCAGGGGATGCTACCGCATTTAAAAAAAACCTGAATTATCTATATAAACTACACTATACATCGTCGCCTTAGAGTGAAAATATCGCATAGGCGTTTTCACATAGTTTGTTTTTACTGATTTTTTGTTGCAGAGGAACTTATAAACTTCTTGCTCAAATACATTACTAAAGTAATATAGTATCTGATAGAGGTATCATTTAACTAATTAAAATGCTAACTACAAACATTATTGTGGTTTCTACATTTTACACCACACTTTCATCTTCATCCTGAAAAATTACATATACAAGACGACTATATAGTATTTTTTCCCCTTGTGATTTTTGTATTAAGTTAATATAAAAAATAGCGTTTTCAATAATTTTTTGTGGTGATGAGGGTTGAATTTTTTAAATCTTGCTTAAGTGGGTCAAAAAGTTTGGGAACCCATGTTCTACATCTAAGCAATCACAATCTAGTGATTATTGAACACCTGCTGCTGTCAGGTACTACCTAGAACTAGAAGTGTTCTTATACCCCTATTTCACAAAATTCCACTAAGCTAATCTAATGACGGTTTTGTTTACGTTAAACGAGTTATGGATTATAAATAATTACAACCCACGGCAGACTACACGTGATCAACCATATTAATGCACTTTGTGTTAGATTAGGTTAGTTGTGATGACTTTTTTAGTTGTGCTATTTTTATCCAAGACGATGACGTTTGCAGGATTGCCATTTTTCCCTAAAATTGTAAATAATGGAATGTCGTGTGCAATTGCATGGATGGATTGTGAAAGGAGATAAAATTACGATACACGTTCACTATTCACGCGACACTGTACAATTTTATAAAGTATCGCGTGAATAGTCAATGTTATATCGTTCTAATGATTATCAATTCGACGCTGGAAAGGTAAAACGTCTAAAGTGAATTTGGAAAATATTACAGGAATCCGATTTAAAGTAGTTTTTTAAGGAAAAAAAAATCAAAACTCTAATTGTTTTTTTTATATATGGAAAACAAGAAAATTTCAGCTTTGTCAACGAATAAATTAGATCTGATTTTTTTTTCTTAAAAAAAAATACTTTATATCGCTCTCCTAGTCACACAGGTCACTTCCAAAGAAAAACGTGTTAATGCATACACAGGTTGCTCCAATTTCACATAAAATTATCAAATATTTATTAATAACAAACATCTATCAATATTCATATGCATTTTTTTAACATCACACGTCGCTCTGATCCCAATGTAAAGCACTTATGTTATGGAAATTCGAAAAAAACGGCGGTACCTCAAACCCTAGACAATATATAAAAGTTAGTTTATCTATACTGACCTGGCCGGGGATCGAACCCGGGACCTCAGAGGTGGCGACATTTTGAAAACCGATGTGTAAGCCACTCGACCACGGAGTCATTAATAGATATCAATATCATCAAATATAAAAAAATATATATCATTATATTTAACGTGAAACATACGCATGCTTTTAAGTCAGTAAGTCTTCTTCATCCTTCTCTCATCGCTGTTACATCCCGGCAACGAGAACTACTATTACCATGACAATCAATAATTATTCACTGCTACGTCAGAGAATCTCTTTCAAGATTCAAATGTCCCTCACCAAGGTCAAACTCATCTTGCGCCCGTTCCTCGATCTCTTCATTCATGTCCATTTCAATTTCTAGCCGAAGCCGCGCGTCGATCTCGTGGTCTGTTTCGAACTGCTTCTTGAACTGCTCTAGACTATTCCAGTTTTTGCTCAATTGGAAATAATTGTCACCTGTTCGGAAAAATAAATAAGGTGAACTACATAATGAGCATTACTACGTGTAAAAGTAACATGCCGTGTAAGTAGGCTTGCCCGGTGGCCGGGATATCCGGGATTGTCCCGGAATTTTTCGTCTTGTCCCATATCCAGTAATTAGACTTTACTGTCCCCGGTTCCAAACACTTAGAAGTTGTTTTTGCAATCTTACTAGATTCCTTTTCATAAAAGAAGTCTCCTAAATGCAGCTCTGTAGTCATAGGAAATACGTATTTGAAAATAACGTGCATTTTTCCTTTGCCTTTAAAAATACAACGACTAAAAACATTATCGAGGCCTAATAAAAATACCTGTTTATTTTCTTATATTTATTGTCTCCCTTACCCTAGTAGAATTGTCCCAGAAATAAGTCAGTAACTGGCAACCTGAACGGTGGTTACATCCATCCATCCACGTTGGATACATCCAACACAAGATACAATGTACGCGACAACCTTGAACGCCCCGCTGAACCGATAATTGAACTAAAATTCCATTTTTGTTTTAATTAAGTTTAAGTTTTAAAATACAATTTTAAAACAGGACGTAAATGTTTTAAAACAGTCGTTAAGAGTCTATACTAGCTCAAAATGGCTTTGGCTGATTCCGCATAACAGTGAAAGTGTTCGATCAATCAGTTTGGAAAACTTATATGGTGTGAAACCACGATTCCTAAAAATTTTTACGATAGAAAAAAAGAGAAACTTACCTCGAAATTTTACAAGAAAACCACCGTATTCAATAGGTACTTTACATCTACCAATGATTTTTTTATATCAACTGAACTAAATAATAGGGGTTAAAGTATGAAATTGCCGATTTGTACTGAAAATCTA